AACCTAGGTTTCAAATTAGTCCATGAAGCCTATTTTTCTCTCTCAAAACCTAGGTTTCAAATTAGTCCATGGAGCCTATTTTTCTCTCTCAAAACCTAGGTTTCAAATTAGTCCATGAAGCCTATTTTGGGGATAAAGTAGACCCAGTCAAGACGTGGTGTTTCAAATCAGCCCATTAAGGCTCTTTTGGGGTTAAAGTAAACCCAGTTAAGATATGGTTTTCCAAAAATGTGGGTTACATTACTGATGTAATCAGAAAAAGCCTCCTTGCATATCAACTCCATTAACAATCAATCTCTTCCTCCTTCTCTCTACCTCACATTATCTCCATTTCCACTAGCACCAGACCTGAGAAGGTGCCTAGGAAATACCAAAAACTTTTTTTTTTTAAAGGTGAATCCAACTAGTTGAAGCATAAAACCTCAGTTCCATCTTGATTCTATCGAAATGGAATCTACCCAAAAGCCGATGTTTAAAATTACTCGGTCTCAAGAAAACTTGGGTTTTAGATTTACCTAGGGTTTTTCTTTACTACTTGGCAAATGCCCCTTAATGTTTTTAGGAATTACACCCTTATTAAACATGGAAAGAATCTTTCTAGACTCTTAAACAGATTAGGAAACTATCTTCCAATTATTTTAACTTTTCTACATAAATTAAACCTAAACCTAGTTAATACGAAAATTTCGTAATCAAATTCTTAATGTGCTCTTGACCATGATTTGGAGCTTGAAATGTCTGAATTACTAAAATCCCATGAAGATAGGATCTTGTAAAGAGCGATATTCTCTTTAAGCTTTGGATCACCCAAAACAGACATTTGAGTGAGAGGTCATGTCCTTCAAAGATGACTTCATCATTTCCCCCCGATTGGAGAAAAAATGTTCTTATGTTTTAAAGGAGCTTGAATGGCCACTATAAATCTTTTCTCTTCAAGTGTTTTCTTTATTGCTCCTAAGAGTTTGGATGGTATCTCGTTGGTTGAGCGAATTAACTCTTTTGAGAATCCCTCAAGAAAAGGATTGATGTATGTTGATAGAGGAAACGGAACAAAAACATGCAACTTACTCGATTTTCCAACCATACTGTTTATGCATGTGTACCATGTCCCATCTTTCTTAGAAGTGAGGATACCAGGTGCTGTGCACAGGCCCATGCTCTAATGAATAAAATCCTCGATGAGAAAGTTTACTTTGTTGGTAAAGCTTTACATGATCTGTAAGACTCCTGTAGTTAGAAGAAAGGCTCTTGGATCGAGGTCAAGATCATGCTATGTCTCTCTCATGAGGGGCAACAATTTCGAGGGCTTTCAAAGAATCTAAGTAGTCGAAGAGGATTATCTGGACCTCTAGCGAATACTCATCTTTAGCCACCTGCAGGTCAGGCTAGACATCTCTTGCAACAAGCGCTTTTATTACCCCATACATTATTACCCAATACATTTGACTTTATTACAGAAAAGTTCTGAGAGTGAAAGCAATGCCTGACTTTGATCCTTGGATGCTCTGTATACTGTGAACTGGCTGGTCTGAATCTAGAATACCACCTCCTTGAACATGTCCATCCTTTGGAGGGTTGGTATTGGTTGCCTTGGATTTGACTCCACTATAGAGGAATGGATAGAGCAACTCTTACCATAAAGTAGAGGAGAAGAATTATCAGAATGCTCCTTATTTAGACTATCCTCAGCCTTCCTTCCATTTCCATTGGGAAGGGCTGCTGATTATAAAGTGACTTATTTTCTCAAACATGGTAGTTAGGACTCACCGCCTGGTATTTTACCATTTCCATTAACTGCTTCAAAAGCTCATGTATTAGTTTACCCAGGTTTTGGGAATGTGTGACTGAAGTTTAGGGAGGGGTTTGAATGAATGCCAATTTGGTTGTGGGATCTTGGATGGGGCATTCCACACAAAGATGGGAAAGAATAAGGGGCACAAGCTTACGTGGGAAGAACCTCCAAACACAATCTAGGGATTTGAGGGAATATCTTCATCAAAAGAAGAAGAGGGGGCTCAACCTTTAGGGGAGGCTCTCCCAAACCTAGGGCTAGAGCTATAAAAATAATTGGGGAATCTCTCATTTAAAGGGGCCTCACAAAAGTTAAAAGCCCTAATTTATTACTTGAGTGTAATTTTGCTACAGGCCTGCATGGGTATTTAGAAGTTTGAATCCCTATTCATTTTACTTAGTAGGAAACTCAAGCTTTCTCTACTTTTATACAACTTAATCTTCGAGTTTCTTTCAAAATTAGTTAACTAGTTTCTGTGTAGTTTGTATGAAACTAGACCCTTACAATTCAAAAGAATCTCTTTAGACTCTTAAACAAAATAGGAGTCTAATTTTAAGTTTGGAAAGGATACTATCTTATTGAAAAACAAAAAAGGCTTTCCTATTTTCTAATTTTTAAGTTTGTAAAGAATACCATCCTACTGAAAAACAAAAAAGGACTGAAGCCTTCCTAATTAAATTAAACTTAATTAATACTAAAGTTGTTGCTAAATTTCTAAGCAGGATTCTACTGTGATTTGAAACGCAAAACATCCATATGACAACAAACCCATAGAGAAAAGGGTCGTAGATCTCGAATATATTTTTTGATATAAGTTTTGGAAGTGGACATAGTTTCAAAAGCTGACTGCACTTGGTAATCATGTGAGTAAGGAGTGGGATGGTGTGAAAGAGTGAAGTCATATTGTATTGGTAAGTGACATGGTGGGATCCTAGATAATATTATGGAGCAAATAGAGACAAATCACAATGGTAGTATTATTTTAATGTTAGTGAAATGTGGCATTCAACTAGAGTAGTCCCTGTTGGAGCGAATTGTTGGAGAGATGGCTTTTAGGTAAGGTAGTGATTTTATGATCTTGAGACTAGTCACAAGAATAAAAATGTGCATCACATTTGCCTCTTGCTAGTCATATATTCAGCTGAGAGCACTGCAAGGAGACTAATTGAACCTGGACATAAATATTGAAAGATTCATTTTATTGCAAAATAAGCAACAATAACATAATGCAACATAATAAACGAGAATATGGGGAGCCCCACATATCATGAACAGTAAATGAGGCTTAATACCAGATTATGCACTCGGGTGAAAGCCAAGCGAGACCCTATGCAACTTGAGTATTGTGGGGGATAATACGGCATTTCAATACAACACACTTTAGTGTAGCATGAACTTATTTTACTAAAAAGTTATTTGTTCACTACTGGTCATGGATCATGATGATGCATCAGTCGTAGACCAAATGATTCACCTATTTTTCTCTCATACTATTCTCACGCACATATATATGCCGGTGTTGGGAGTTATCTCATGCTACGGTTTTGTAGTAATATAATGAAAATGCTCCTTTGAATTATCATGTTAGGGGCATTTTTATGATTCCAAATTTTGAACTCACACTCTTTTCATCGTTGCAATCAATCCTGAAAATCAAAAAAATTGATTTGCACCCTAGAAAATATCGAAGCAAGTTTTCCTCAACAAAAAAAGAAAAAATCAAACCAAGTCTTGCTCCAGCAATGTACATGGACTGTCCATTTGGTGGACATTGGGATCTAGTTCTTTATGAACTCAAAATCAATGTTTTATTTTGTTCATTTGATGATGATAAGGCTATCTACAAAATTTGGGGTAAAAAAAAAAAACCCCCCCTAAGGCCAGGATCTAAACCTCCCATCAAATGAATGTAGGGCTTTTTAGAGATTGTTCATCACAATGAAAATAGTGTGTTTACAATTTGGTATCCATCAAATTCCCCTAACATGATTTCTGAAGGTGCAGTTTCATTATATTATTTTAAAACCATGCCGCCGAACTTATAGCACATTATAGGGTGGACTGTTCATATTGAATCTTAATAAATCTATGGTCAGCGTGTATGAGCACTATTTGTTTTTTTAATGTTTTCTAAATCCCATTGCCTGACATACGTGCATAAAAAGAAGCAAACTAATACTCTAAAATATGACCAAAATGAACCCATCCTTGTCAAGTGAGCACTGGCTATTATTGGTTGCCCGGCGTAGAACTTTGGGTTCATCTCGTAATTTGTTCTACATTTGGATGACGGAAGTTTTTAACATTAGTCTAGTGAGATCAAAGGATAGCAGCTCTAAGGTCTGGCAAGCCCATTCGCTTTAGCATTGCTTCCTAAATTTGACACTTGATCGAGCATTGGCTAAGTTTGGCTATAACCGTGAGATATGATGTTGTATGTAGAATATGTGGTAATAATCTATCTTGTATGATATTCATTATAAATATTATGAAGCATTGGGTACTGCTTATGTGTCTCTTTTACTTGCATTCATGGGATGGGTCTCCAAGTGTTAAGAATATGCATATTTATTTGTAATGCCTTTTTATGAAGAGAGAATCTTACTTTAATATCATGATGGGGTAGTGCACCTAGTTCAGAAATCTTGATTCCCTTGTTCCTGTAGGATGCCAGCTTTTACCTTGTATTAATAATGTTCATCAGATTTGAATGTGTTTCATTGATATGTTATTTACTATGCTTTGGATTTTGTTTCATTCTCGCATTCCTGAATTTCATGTTCATTTTTAGAGTCTGCGACTGCTAAGTTTGTATGTATTCTGGGTTTTCAAATATTGCTGCATGCAATCAATCAAATTGGTCATGATAGCTGCAGCATGTCTCCATGTTATGTGGTATTGTTTTCATTCAGTGAATTTTACCCTATTATATTGAGTGCTTTCTCACAATGGATTGAAGTGAATATATAAAATGTCCCTTTGCAACTTTTGCTTTTATCTTTCTTTGAAACTCATCTTTTATGCAATCATCAAGAAATCAAAATGGGAACTCATATTTTGTGCACCTTGTGGAATGAAATCTATTCAAGATTTGTGCTTATCTAGTTCCTTTGGGAGTTGCTATAGTTTATTGGTTCCTGTGAAGGCGTTTTGACTTGATTGGTTTGATCATCATCAACTCATTCATCTTTGTCATTATTTCATGCAGGTCTTTGATGATTGTGTGATTAGAAGGAACTTGTTAATATTGTTGTGTACCATAATCTTTTCAACTGTTGTGAGTATATATATCTGTTCTAATGCAAGGTCAAAGGGGTACCGTCCAGTCCTTCCTTGATACATTTGAATTTGAGACTGGTTCTAGCTCTAGTACATCTGGTGTTGAGCAACCGCTATACTGGAATAATATGATGAATCCAGTCGAGACGGGGTCGTTGCCAGATTTTGTACTCTCTCCGAGTGATGCCAACATAGCATTTGTGAGCCAGGATGGGAGCTTGGGTGGTTGGTCTGTTGGTGGGTCTAGCGCTGGTGAGCATTCATTAAATCGAGTTGGTCATGATGATGTAAAAGTGGATCGAGGGTGGAGTTCTTCATTAACCATTCCATCTGGAAGTGATGCCAGGTTAGAGGAAAGGACATTGGAGCAACCCAATGTTCTTTCATTTGAAACCGTGGATCTCAGCCTCAGCACCGATCATGTTGCTAATGACCCTTTGGTCTTTCAAAACTCCAACGCTCAGGGTTCTAACCTAAATTTAGGAGGCTATGCTGGCAATGACTTTATGGAGCACGACTCTTGTCCTCATTCATATAAATCCAGTGGTCCTGAGTCTGAGCACATTTCATCAGCTGACCCTGGTGGGACAAATAACGCTGGTCATCTTGGTGAAGGTAGCAGTGGTACTAGATCGAGTTTATCAGTTGATCATGGAAGACGTGTTTCCTGCAAAAGGAAGAATGTAGAAGGAGTATCTGGTCAGTCATCTATGGTTGGAACCTCTAGTTCATTCCCACATGATGACGAAAGTGTCCAGCTCTCGCTTCCTTCTCGGGCGAATGCTACTGGCAGTAGTTCAAGTACTTCTATACCCACTGTTGGTAATTCCGCAGATGATCAATTGAACCCAAGACTTGGAATTAATATCAATGGAGCGGCTCCTGACTGCCATACTGCTCTACCAGTGGGTGGAAATGCAGAGAGCTCGCAAAGAAGCTTTCGTATGAGAGTCAACCCCATTTATCAGCAAGATTCAGCTTCTTCCCCCCATTTATGGCCTACTGGTAATCCCACTCGTCGTGCCCATACTATGACTCCCCATGCATCATCATCTGGTAGACTGATGCAGGCTCCAGATTTGAGAGCATCCTCGAGTTCTTCTCCTCTTAACCACCTCAGTATACCCCACCGTCTTCCTAGTCTTCATCGAAGTCCTCGCTCGTTTGGTTGGAGTGGAGCTTCTATCCCAAGAATTGGCAGCACATCTGGTTCAACTGTATTTTCAGGGGAGAGACCCACTGTTTTGAGGGATGATGCGAGTTCAAGAGCCAGAAGTACCTTAGAGCATGCCTTGTTAGCACCTACCCCAGAAATGAGACCATTACCCCACGATCCAGCTCCTTGGAGCTCTCCTAATGGGAATGTAAACTTGCCTGGGAATGTTGCTTCTACTTCCCGAAATGGTTCAAATCCAAGCAATACCCATTCTGCATCATCGTCAAACTTGGTTCCTCATCAGGTGCCTCTGTCTCATTTTCCAAGAAGGTTATCAGAGGTTGTTCGAAGATCATTGTTTTCAGCTCCAGGCTCTGAGCAGGGAAGTCAAAGCAGTACTTTTCCTCCTATACGACCAGTTCCTTCTACTTCATCCACAGAGATTGTGATGCCATCTTCTGGTGGTGGTGGTAGTAATATACAGGGGCATCAGCCGCATCTAAGGTCAGCTTTCTTGATGGATCGGCATGGTGATGGTGCTCCAGGAGTTCCCTTACCAGTACGAAATTGGGCGGCTGCAAGTGAAGGGCGAAGTAGGCTTGTTTCTGAGGTTTGTTTCTGGATACAATTTTCTGAAATTTATTGCTTATTTAGCATGTTCCTAGCATTTTAAACATTACACAACATTGAGACACTGTTATACACAAATTTAACACCAAACTATCTTTTGAGTTTAGAGCATGAAAATTTATTAGTCATCGACAACATTTTCAGGAAAGTTGCTTTTTATTTGTGTCATGGAGAAATGATACCTCGTGGTTCTGTTTTCTGTCAAAGACATGAAGATTGTATTTCTTGTGACCTTCTTTAATCTATGGCTTTCATATTCTTCTTCTTGTTTTGATCATGGGGTTACACCTTCACCTGTTTTTTGGACTAACCTCATTGTAGGCATTTTCAGTGTTTTTCAACATGTATGAGTTTAATGGCAGGTTATTTGAATAGTTCTTTCCAGTGGTTTAAAAAAAGGATCGGTGCCCCGGATCGGGCACCCCAAAAACCCATACGGATCGGTGAATTGGCGATCCGGATTGGAAATCGGCCGAATCAGTGAGATGAAGCCTTAGAAAAAATCCAAAAAAATTATTAAAATTCATTATAAATGTTGTTTTTTAGGAATTCAATAAGAAATGAGGGTACTGCCATATTAACTTTCATTTTTTTCATAATATGTGAATCTTGAGTTGTTCTTTCCCTGCATGAACTTATGTTAACCATTAAATTTACATCAAACAGAAGAAAAATTATAGAATTATAATGGATGAAGTGTATAATCATATATGGACTACAATAAAGAATGCTTTAAATCGATGAAACAATGGCCACCAAAATATCGAATTTGCGGAGAACCCTAATCCGTAAAAAAAAAAAACAACCCAAATTATTACAATCTAACTAACTATAATCCAAAATTATTACAACCTAACTAACTATAATATTATATACTAAAATTGAAATTGTTGGTTTACATTTTATAGTTATTTTATTACACAAATAATAACAAATCCAAAATGTCTTATAATATCATATAATTTAAAACGTATTATTGACAAATATAAGAAAAAATAGTAAATTACATAATTTATAATGTAAATAAATTAAAATAAATAAAATAAAAGATTCGGTTGTCAATATAGAATTAAATTCTAAAGTGGTATGAGTTAGTGTTATTTTTCTCTCTTAAAATATCCTCTAAACTAATATTTTTTAATATTCAATAAACTAGAACTAATATTATTTTTTGTTTTTTTAATATCCAATGAGCTAGTACTAATTTTTAATCTCAATTAACTACTCAATTAATTATTAATTATATAATAAAATAATCCTGTGAGATAATAGCCTAATAAAATTTTTATGTTTTATTTGGGTAGGTAAATTTAAATTTTTTTGGTGAAAGATAGGGGTGGTGAGCACCTAATTATTATTTTTAATAATTTTTTTATTTTTTTATCATATAAATTAATGACTACCATCGAAAGTACATTCTTCTTATTCATGATGGGCATACACCGTCGGGGTACACCATCGTGGACTAATACGTTAAAACTTAAAAGGAAAAAGACTTAGGATTAAAGCGCATGAACCTTCATGTGAGTTGAATAAAGCAAAGGTATATATATAATTATCCCACATTGAAGAGATGTGGGATGAAAGGCAACAAGCTTCATAAACGGCTGATGCTAGTAGGCTATGTGGAAGTGAGGTGGGTAAGTCAGTATGCTGACATAAGCATGACACAAGCAGGTGGGGGCATATAATTTGAATTTTTAATTGAAAAATAAAAAAAACTGAAAATAGTGTAGTGGCACGTGAATGATGATGTCACGGGCTGTGAGTTATTATAGCGACATGCGAATCGTGACGTCACTGGGCGATTCACTGTTCCGAATCGCCCGGTTCTCTCTAGACACGGGCGTTTTAGCGTTATTTGGTGGAACTAGCACGGGGGTGTCGATTCCTGTGTCGAACAGGACGAGTCTGGTTTGATTCGACGAGTTTTCAAACACTGGTTCTTTCCTTAGAACTTGGAACATGTGACCTTTCATGCAGCCAATATTTACTGGCTTGTGGTTAGACATTCGCTCATAAAATTTTTGTAGTTTCTTAGTGATAGGGTTGAAATTCTTAATAAATAGTAGTTTAATTTATTGAGCATTGAAGTGAAATCACATGAAAATATGAAATGCATTGATGAGAATATTGCTAGTTGAAAGCATCTTAAACTGTATGTTATGTCAAAATGTTTCAGGTTGTCATGAAAATGGTAACCACGCACACCTTTACTTTTGAAGGGCCAATTTACTAGTATATAGTGAATAATAGCAGAAGTCACAAAGCCTATGGACTGCATAAAGTTTTAGCTAGTTCTGTTATGTTTTGGAAGGAGATGCGTACTCTGATATTATTCCTTCTGGAGACTCTGCATGTGGCCTTAAAGCTATTTTCTGTGGATGGTGCAGAGTGTTCTTTGAGGGCTTGTTTACGTGTGTATGTCCTATATATATGTAGGGTTGAGTAAAACTTATATCATCCTTGCGTAGTTTCTTTGTCATCACTTTGTAATACTTCTGTCGCAGACATTTAAACCTTAGCGACAAAAATTCGCAAGATGCTTTCAGTGTTAGTTAGCCTCTTTGGACTCCAATCTGGTGACATTCAAAGTTGTCTCCCTCAACCCGTAGTTTGGTCCTTAGAGAGTAAAAATTGTTGCCTAGGAGACTACTCTGCCTCTAATGATTCATGAACTCCTACATGACCTGAGAAGACCGTATTGGTTTTCCGTTTGCTCTTCAGAAGTGAGCTGCTTAGTCCAAAAGGGCCAGAGGGTCATCCAAAGGGGCCAGGGTTACGAATACATATTCATCAAAGTCTCAGGCCCCTTGGCTCTGGGGCTCTTGTGCATCATTGATCTCGGAGTGAAGATGCTGGTCATTACAATTCATTTCGTCTCTTTCATCTGGTCTATTTCCCTATGAACCAGAAGATTTGTGATTCAGGCATTGCTATTATCACAGACTTCTATTTGACCCCCGAAGATTGTGTTTGCCTCAAATACCCCAGAACACCACCAATTCTTTTCTGGCCGGTGAGAGGGCATTAAGGTTTGGACCAAGAGGTCATCTAAATGGTAGTAGAACCAGATTTAGCCACTAAACCCTGTCCTACATGTGGGTGAGCTCATTTGGCTCTGGTGATTCTAGTTGACGCAATATTGTTGTTATCCCTTGAAGAAATGGAAGATGACAATGCTCATCAGTATGAGATCTTTAACCAATTTCCTTTGTGGATTTTGATTGAACTGAATGTTTACGTAAGAGAGAGCTTTAACCAGATCTTGTATCTTTTTAGGTGGTTGTTTCTTGATACATATAGAAATGACGACTATTGTCTTATATGTAGTGGATAGGCTGAATGTAGACCTGTATTGGGGACTTCCAAAGAAGTCATATGGCTTCAAGTTCTATTGGCTGTTTTGAGGTTTCAGATTACTTGATCTGTCCTCTCCCTATGAAAATAATATTGAGGCCATCATGATAGCTATCTATTTCATGATAGAGGCAAACAAAATTAGATAAATTGTTGCTATGCCAGTTATAGATTACCACTACAGGACTGGCTGCAGATATATATAGAACTCTGTAACTCGAGATAGATCTGCAACTTTTGGTGTTGATGGCTACCCACCCCCCTCCTCTCTCTCTCTCTCTCTCTCCCCTTCTTTCTCCTCTCTTTCTCTCTCTATTTTTGTTGGGCCTAGAAAATTGTCACGATGTGTGTTGTTTGTAATTCTGTCTTTGACATCTTCATCGTATGTATAAATATATTTTTCCTGAGCTTACATGGGATATTTATAAGTATTTGTATATCTCTGAGAATATATCAATTTCCGTATAATTGTTCAAACATTCTTGTAAAGGTTAATTTGGTTATCCTTTCAAAAATAATGATATATTAGGTATTATTCTTTCATTTTACAAAGAAAAATAGTTTTCCCACTGTAACAACAACTTTTGGGAATCTGGTAAGCAGTCATCATACAGGCAAGCATGGGTGACATATTTTTGGAGCCCTTCAGCATATGCCTGTCACATTTTTGTGCTTCCCCTTGAGCACCCTCCTTTAATTGCATTCCTATTGATTTTTGTGGTTATTTTCGATCCTTGCATCTCTTGGTTAAATCTAAACCTTGAGCCCTCAAGGATTTTTGGGGTATGTTTGTCTTTTTCATTTGTTTATATCATTTTCCTGTCCTCTTAACAATTGTGACCTTATAAATTGTTATTGATGTTTTTCTCTCGGAAATCTACATATTAATAGTTTTTTCTGTCATGTACTTGGACAGGGCCTTCTATTGGAACTTATAATTCATTTATTTGTGTAGCAGATTCGCAACGTTTTGGATCTTATGCGTCGGGGTGAAAATTTGAGATTTGAGGTGCGTAGAGAAAGCTCATACTAAGATTTAGTGGGATTGGAAAAAGAGCACACTTCTGTGTTAATGTAAACTCTAGGAACCTGTACGTATGTCCTTTTTTTTAGTCGTAGCAAGAAAACTACCTTATCTTAGCCCCTGACTGGCCTGCCACTTACTATTTCATGGTGCAAGTTAAGGGATGCAACCCAGTGTATTATGACCCTGTTGTGATCTTGAGGATTAGAAAAAGGAAAAAAATCCCTTTTTGCCTCTATTACCTCCACTTGATTATGACCCTTAAACATTTGCCTATTTTCACAATTGCTCGTTAAGGCAAATTAAGAGGTTTGGATATGGCTAACAGGAAGTTCAAATGGGGCCTAAAGAAATGCAAAACGAGCTGTTGGTTTCATTGTCTTGAGAGAGTTCTAGAAGATCACAAATTCATTATTTTCTTACAAATTGAATCAATTGTTATGTGCAGGATGTTTTGATCCTTGACCAATCGGTATTTTACGGTGTTGCTGATTTGCATGATCGACATAGGGACATGCGTCTTGACGTGGATAACATGTCATATGAGGTAATTAAAGCGCATGGAAGTTTACTATAATTCTATAGATCATGATGAATAGGCCTTTGATTATCACAGTCCAAAATATAAAGTGATGGAGATAGAGTTGGACCTCCCATTGTATTTAGGCTGAGCCTTTCTGAATTTGTTGTCTTTACTCTTTCAGGAACTTTTGGCATTGGAGGAACGCATAGGGAATGTGAGCACTGGACTTAACGAGGAAACTGTCGTGAAGTGTTTAAAACAACGCAAGTATGTGGCAATCACAAATGCATCTGTAGAGGTTGAGCCATGCTGCATTTGCCAGGTAAGATTTTTATTCTTTGTATGACAAATTATTCGATGTTGCTTAACTAAACATTTACTCTTTCGCATTTGCAGGAAGAATATGTGGATGATGAAGAGCTTGGAACACTGAATTGCGGGCATGACTTCCATACCGCCTGTATCAAACGATGGCTGATGCACAAAAATTTGTGCCCTGTTTGTAAAACAACGGCATTGGTTACATGATAGAGAGAGAGAGAGAGAGAGAGAGAGAGAGAGAGAGAGAGAGAGAGAGAGAGGAGGAGGA